GAGAGAGCGTGAGAGCGCAAAAATTCCCACCAAGGACAGTACTCCGCGTCCGTGAGGGCCTTCCTTTGGCCTCAGGGCGACGGATGGCGCTGCATGTATTAAATTGGCGACTGGCGGCGAGTATCGCTCGAGCGCGCCTCGTCACACTAGATAGTCGATCCTGTAGTACGCCATTCAGTACATTACAAAGTCAAGCAGCGCCTCCCAATAGTAGTCGGCGAACTAAAATGCAGTCCAGCGCATATACCCGACGCAGTTGTCGGTGGTAGAAAATGGTCATTTTTACCGAGGGCATTAGGAAATTTTCTCGATAATTTTTCCGCGTATTACAATTTTTCCAAAGTATTCGGAGAGATACTAATTAGACAAAAATGAGGGGAAAAAGCTGTAATTGTCTGGATAAAGAAAAGACGTTTAAAACAATGTATTTATCATCAAAATTCTGAGAACAATACCGGAGCTAGATGGAATGAGTCTGGCATCAAAACAAAGCTCATTCGCCATTTTTGCAATCAACTAGAATCTTTGGTTAGACGTGAATCTATCGAACAGCCGACGCGTAACATAGACTAGAAGGTTATGACTTAAGGTTATTCGAAAATTTCCCCAGTAAATTACAGAACACGTCCCCCCCTCAACACCTGCATGTACAGTCGAGCACTTAAGTTGGTAAACAGAATACATAGAATGCAAGTTCAGGCTGTTCACGAACTTTAGTGCTCGACTGTACAGTGACGACTTCTTTAGTACCTGAGCAACTATTCGGCGGCGCTGACTGACTTTCAATTTGCTTCACTCTTAGCGTGGTGGGGATTATAGGGATAGTCTATCCAGTTATATAGAGATCAGTGGTATCACTTGTACGATGATCGTTGAGAGAAGTGTTTCGTCAAATAAAGTTAGTTAATATTGTAGAGATCAACTCAGATAATAATTATCAGGAAAAATAGGGGCGATTTATTATCTCCAATCTTGAATTCGAATAAAGACACAAAACAAATCCCACTCTCTCTCTCACAACAACCCTTAGTAACCATTCGAACAACATCATTCTCATTCTCATTCCAAGGGAGGGGAAGTATTTTAGGGAGGGGATATTTTAAATAACTGAATTGTAACAATATTATTACGTTTTACGTTATTTATCCTCGTTTTCCCCTACAATATTCCATCAAATCACATCAAGCTATAAAATACCAGAGTCGTCCTGTCCCCATACTCGAGCTACTGTTAATTACCTCAGTCATTCTATTTTTTGATTGTAAATACATGCAAGAGTCTATTCGTTCATCATGAGTAATCATACCTGCAACGATAAATTGAAGCGATTCTAAATTGCAGGCATTACTTCAGACCTCTGTCTAGAATGTACATATTTTTTCTTATTTAAACTGTGTAGAATATTTCCTATTTAAATGTTCAACATAATATTCATTTGTGGGTGCACTATATCGCAGGTTTTAGGGGAAAATAGAATAGTTGACTATAATATTATTATAATTCGTTAATATGATTTCCTAATAATTGTATGTCTACATTCCCCCAGTCACAAAACAAATTGGATATAATTTCAGAATAAAGGGCGAGATGTGGAACAGTGGAGAAATTAATTCAATCCTGCATGATAAAGTTCAGTTACAACAGATGAAAGTTTTATGGAGGTGAACAGGTTGTGGAGATGAATCCAGAAGGCCAGTTGTACACGAAGATCGAGTTTTATTAAAAATTGAGTTTTCCTTGTATTCACAATATTTACAATCGTTGGAGAGTGTAAGTCGTAGTGGAACTTGTACTCTGTTATAAGTGAAATGGAGTTCTCGAAATTGAGTTGTTGACTGATGAATGAGTGAATGTTGAATGATGATGAGTGTTGAAAGTGTCCGGTATTTACAGAGAGTACAGTTCAGGCGTAAGGATGTAATTGGTTGAAAGTTTGGAGAAGGAATGAGTGAGTCCTGACTTCCTATTGGTTCAGCACCGTAAGTTTTCGCAGCTGGGCCGTGATTTGATCGGCGTGCCCATGGGGGAAATTTCTGGTCCGTTGTGACGTCGTAGGCGCTAGCCAGGCGGACGTAGGATTATGGAGGGATGGCAGATGATGATGAGGGATTAGGACGAACGAGGAATTATGGCAATAACTATAAATGCAGTAGAGTATTTCGGACTTGGTTTATGGTGAGGATGAAATGTTTATAATAGGAACGTTTGAGCATTAAGTATTAATTTTCGGTGTGAGAGAGATGGAGTGATTTAGGAATTTTGGTAATTAGGGGAAAATACTCTTTGAGAATTTTTCATGTCCAGACAGGGACATAGTGGAGACACCTTCACTACAGTTTCGATTGTCACCTTTAATTATGTGTCTTTTTGATAAACGAGATCATGTCAAGCCCGCTGCGCGCGCCGTTTTTCGATATGTGGAACTTACCGAATTTCTTGTTCGTTTCCGATTTCCATTGCACTTTGCAATGAATACTAAGAAAATGTGGTAGTATTAACTTGCATTAAGTGCTCTTGCGTTTTGGAAACAAAAAAAAAATAAACTAAATTACTGAAGCTTAATCCTCATAATTAGAACCTTGCCTTATAATGATGATTCAGTTTGATCATAAAATATCGGACACCACAGCGTTGCATCACATATCCTCATCTTTCTTAAAAATTCGTTAATCAATAACAATAACATTTTCTTCTGACATTAATGTTTACTCATTAGCATATCCACATATATCACATTTTTTTAAATAATGATAATGTATAAAGTTGTCATACTGAAAACAAAACACCAAATTCGATTGCAATTGAGTCTACTTGAACTATCATCCCCAGCCGAATGTTACTTCGAAGCATTTTTTTTTTTACCGAATAACTCATTTTCTATAAATAAAGCTCGCTATGAACGTAGTTCTTCACTTTAAAACCTTTTCTTTGTTTTCCAAGAAATACTTTTGTGACATCCGTCAGAAAATTCATTTAAATTCATTTTCTTACGTCGTCATTCAATTATCTCAGTGATAGAAGCGACTTTTGAAACCCAAATTATCTTCTGTGACGAGGGAAAGTGACCCTCTCGATGTTGGGAATATTTCGGCTGCACACATCTGTGAACGATAAAAATGTTCCCAACGTCGAGTTTCTCCTAGATTAAGGAGATATCAGCTGTGCAATATCAGATGCACTGTAAACATTTGAGTCCAGTCTCGTCTCCTTAATCATGTACTGTCCACGTGTGACCGTAAATTTCAATAAACACTGGACTCTTGAACCGGAAAACTGTTGATAACAAATTCTAAGCGTGGGTCCAAATTTTGTAACTCCCACGACAAATATTTGATATAAAAATAGAGTAACGATTTCGTTTCCCACATGGAGGAAATGACATAAACATTGACGA